ATGACTATAGACGATTTACGACATCATCTGTGGATTTATGAATCACTAAACAGAACTTTTATCAGAACCGAACAAGTCTCGAAGGCGATCTAATTGTATCGATAATTGATCACATTCATTTCGCAATTGATTAAAAGCTCCATAGCTTTGATCAGTTTTGATCATTGAGCAACTTTTTCATATTATATCATTTTCCCATCTGTCAAACCCCTTGCCACTTAATTGACTTTCTGAATTAATCGACAGCAGGATATTGGTGACAAGATAAAACCGGGTGATAACAAATTTTAAAATCAGTAGCCTTGACAGAGGCTACATATCGAAAGACTTTAATAGGCCCATCTTCGTAACGTTGTATAAGAAGCCAGGTGCCAATGAATAAAATCTCTATCCGACAATCACCTTATTGAGGCACATAACAAAATTGGGAAATGTTTTAACAGATGGAATAAATTTTGACATCGAAGTCCGTAGTTGCATTTGGGATAGCAAAATGCCTTCCAAAACCTAAGCAAAACATTAAGAAACAGAAGAAAAGAAAAGAGTACTGAACTATCAGTTCTTATATATGACAGCAAATGAACAATTTCCCCACAGATAAAAGTGAAAATTGAAGCAACAGATACAGGGTTCTACTGAAGGATAATGAGGATACCAAGGAACAACGATGAAGTGTTAAGGAAAATGGAAACTATAAGGACACGTATATTTAGAACAAGAAAGAAACAATTGAAATTTCCATGAGACATGAGGACTAAAAAAAGGCCTGGAAAATGTGACACCCACAAGGCGTAATGAATGCAAGAGTGACAGACGGAAAGAGCGAATATCCCAACCACGGATGGCAAAAACAGCGAGTGTAAGGAATAGCAAGGAAACAAACATTGCTAAGATCTACAAAGATAGGTAGTTAGGGATGGCCATAATCACACATACCATGAAGAAACACACCACATAGAAGAAGACTCTCTCTCACTCACTCTCTCTCTCTCACTCTCTCTCTCACTCTCTCTCTCACTCTCTCTCTCACTCTCTCTCATTGGCGAGATATTGAAAAATATTCTGAATGGAGACTATAGATATTGCATATATTTAAAGAAGACCGGAGAACGCATGGGTCAATACGACAGATTGACTTAAAGTACAAATATTAGAAATCCTTGAGATCACAATGCAATAATTGGTTGAATAATAACAATAGAAACAAAGAATGCACTGACCGAAAGGAATGATCGACACAACAAAAATAGGATACTCGTCTAATAATAATAATAATAATAATAATAAGAAGAAGAAGAAGAAGAAGAAGAAAAGGGAAAATAAGAAAAATGGCTTGGTATATTATATCAGTATATAATCAGCTACAATGTGGTAGGCATTCATACAATTACAGGTGCAGTTGTGGAAGTTTCTGATATTTTGATGATTATTTTTTTTTATTTATTGCCTAATGTCTGTTTCAGATTTCTGTTGAATATTTCGTACATTTTGCTCGATATTTGGAATTGTTTGGCAATGGGTTTGATGAATATCTTATCAATATTTGCTTTTATGTTTCAAAAGATGGAAGGGTTGAGTGATTACTTCGTCACTTTCCTTGCCATCCAATGGCATATAGGGAGAGCCTACGAAAGAAGTGGTAAATGTTCTGCAGATCACTAACTCCACGAATCTGATAGTCACCATACATTGTAATATATATATATATATATATATATATATATATATATATATATATATATATATATATATATATATATATATGCAAGAAATGTGAAATAAGTATCAACACTAAATGGTGACAGTCTCTTTCATGTTCAGGTTCAGTCGTCAATCCATGTGGATCGAAGATTAATTCTATTATTTATATATCTTGTCACTGAGTGATTAGGGGTAAAACGGTCGGTTATTTCCGGTTAATTGTGGTATTCTAACGGGAATGTGGTTATTTCTTCTATTGTATTTTTGTAAATGCTATTGTATGTGATTGTTTATTATTATGTAGTTTCTTAGTTAACGTTTTGTATTTAAACCATTCAATTCAGTATTTGTATTTTAGTCACTTTTGTTCGTTATTAATTACTTTAGTATTTTATTTATTCTTTTATTATTTACTTCTACTTGTGATAAAATTTATTTAGTTATTAAAAATTAAAGTTTTTAGAGTTTGTGTTGTAGGCTGGTGCTGTTTTCCTTATTTTCGTTTATTTTCATGCATTTTTCTTTTCATTTTTAAGCTTCACACATATCTAGAGAGTACTCTGCTGTTCACGTATTTTTATTTTTTACAAGAATAGTTTCTTTATTTCCATCATTTTGCTCGTACGTATATTTTTCTTTATTGCCTTCTGTTTATACGGTGACTTTGTATATGATATATCTTTGCAAGCAATTACAGTTTATGGAACTGTAATTTGACTCAAGTAATAGTTTTCTTTTGCACTCACTGCTTGACTCTCTTAGCAAAAATCCTCAGTAGAATTAAACCTGAATGGAATTAATACCCAGTGACAAAAGATCTTCCAGGCCTACAGACAAAAAAGTAACTCAAGAGAAAAAGCATTGGATTTTAGAGAGCTTAACTGGGTCAATAGTGGTGGCATCGCTATTAAAAGCGGAAGTTTCTAGCTGGTTAACTGAGGGTTGTGAGCTCACTCTCGGTTCTAGTCAGTACATTTTATTTTTGTTTTTCTCTTCAACTACGGGAACAGCCATGTTTTCTTCAGCGTTACATTTTGGTTTGGTTTGGTTTGGTTTGGTTTGGTTGGTCTAGGGCATTTGTTGATTATTTTTCTGTTGTGCTTTTTTATTATCTGTGTCATGTTATCGGTGTAACTATGACTAAAATTATTAATGTTTCTTTTATATATTTTGTTGCGAGTGCTTGATGGAGAGGCGTTTTAGTGGAAGACTTTAATTAAGGTTTGTTCTACGTTTTTATTTTTGCTCTACTGTGGATTAAATTTCCATTTATTTTTGCACCCTGTTGTGTATATGTGAACGTTACCGAAAAAATATTATCCGTTCGAGCCGATTTCTTAAAAATCTGCTTCATTCTGTTGGTTGGTTGGATGATTTTTCAGTGTAAATTGGTTTGCCTCTCGTTTCGATATTGCTGACTACATTTTACGGGGTTGAATGTGACGTCGAGGAAATCTACCGTATATACTCGCGTATAATGCGACTTTTGAAAACTTAATTTTGAAGTTAATTTTAAGAGGGTCGCATCATACACTAGATATAAAATTAGCATATGTACTGTTGCCCTTGGCTACACCATTGACCAAACTATATATCCATTTACTGGAGTCAAAATGTACAGATGTATTTAAAATAAACATCGAATGTTACATGAGTATATACTGTACTTCTTTTAGATTGTTTTTTTTATGTTTATGTAAGGAGCACTGGGATAGTGAAAGATGCCTTCCAAAAGCTAAGCAACGTATTAAGAAACATGAACGTTTCGTTTGAAACAATGAAAAGACTACTGAAATGTTGCGTATTATCATTCCCCCTATATGAGAATTTTCTAAACGTAGCTTAGATGTGGCACAAAACCGACAGTATGGGGCATCCTGTGAGGATCGAATTTACTACTTAGTCGTAATTGTTCTAACATGACTAGCTTGCTAACCATCACACCACGTCCATATGGTACTGAATGCGAGACACAATTCATAAATGACGAAGGGAATTGAAGCAGTGGAAATATAATACTACAGAAAGATTCTGAGAATACCATGAATCGAATGTGAGCATCGACGATGTTGTAGAGAAAATGGAAACAAAAAGGACACTTATACTTAACGTCAGAAAGAGATAATTGAAATTTCTAGGGCACATAATGAGGAAAAAAGGTTTGGAAAATCTGATACACACAGGACAGATTGAAGGCAAAAGGAACTGAGGGAAACAACGCATAACCAACCTGGCGAGCTTCAGCGAATGGATGGCGGAATGAGGTTTACGAGAGATAGCAAAAAGACAAAATTTATTAAGAGCTTCAAGGGACAAGAAATTGTGGAGAGCCATGATTACCAACATCCCGAAGAGACACAGCACATAGAAGAAGAGAGTTTTAGTAAATGGATGCCAGAAGAGGGTTTAGGAGAGATAACAAAAAGAAAATTTATTAAGAGCTACAAAGGACAAGAAATTGTGGAGAGCCATGATTGCCAACGCCCTGAAGTGACACGGCACATAAAAGAAGTCAAATCCTATGTTTAAATAAAAAAAAAACATGATTATTTTTCTAGTTTTATCTGTTGTTTTGTCTGTTAAAGTTTCTTAGAATTATGAGTTTATTGTTCATGTATAGGTCTATATCTTTTTTTGTAGATTTGGTTCATTCATGAAATATGTCGAGCCCTGTTCTTTTCTTACTTCTACCCTTTTCTCATCTTTTTCTTCTTCGTTATTCCTCTGACCATTTACTATTTTCATTTTCCCTCAATTCATTATCTGCTTTTTCCTTTTCTATGCCCTTCCTTTTAGTTTTTCTTCTTCTTCTTACTGCTTCTCTCTTCATTAATTCACCCTTTTCTTTCCCTTTCACATAAATTATTACCTATTACTAAGATGCTTCAAATGTTTGTTTCTGCGCCATTTTGTATGAAAGGAAGAGATGAATCTAAAAGAAAGCTCCAGACTTCCAATTTAGAAACAATTGTCGGTAAATCTTAAACATTTTCACGTACACAAAACTACATTTAAATGGCTTCTCCTTGTGTGTAATTCAGAGATAATTTGTTTCAAAAGGATCTATTTTGCAACTAGGGCAATGTCGTAAATCATACAATTAAAAAGCCACAATGAACAGAACGGCTAAAAGAGAAGTAATATTATATATAACATATATAAGATATAGGAAAGATTAAATATTTGAATAATGTTTTATGGCTAAAACCGGTAGAAATATTCGATGATTTTATATTAAATAATTACGTCCAAAAGAGTAAAGAAAAAGAGAGAAAAGAAAGAAGTAATGATTAAAGAAA